TCAAAAGTTTTTGAACAGTAAGATTTTTAATGTTTTTTAAAGAAGTCTCTTCTATTCACCAAGCCTGTATTTATGTGACCCAAAGTACAGCAAGAGCAGTAATATTGTGAAAGTTTTACTATTTAAAGTACCTGCTTTCGATTGGAATATATTTTAAAATGTAATTTATTTCTGTGATCAAAAAGCTGAATTTTCAGCATCATTACTGCAGACTTCAGTGTCACATGATCCTTCAGATATCATTCTAATATGCTCATTTGCTGTTCAAGAAACATATTTGTTATTATTATTATTATTATCAATATTTAAAACAGTTGAATACATCAGGCTTTTTTGATGAATAGAAAGATCCAAAGATCAGCATTTATCTGACATAAAAAGCTTTTGCAACATTATACATGCACTATACCAAAAAGGGGGGGATTATTACTTATTTACTTTTATTATTACTTATTTAGCAAGGATGCTTTAAATTTATCAAAAGTGATGATATGAAACTGACCTGCACTTGAAGCCCTGAACAGGTCAGTGATGTTGCTACATTTCACTGCTTCTTCTGGCCGCTTCCTCTCTTTCATCGAGTCCCGCGCATTGATTCTGTTCGGAATAGATTCTGATTCTGTGAGCTGATTTGTATAGTGCAGCGCTGTCAGTCAAGACTAACCGATTTATGATTTATTATCGAATTACAAAAACGGAATGCATATTAGAATGATTTCTGAAGGATCATGTGACACTGAAGTCTGCAGTAATGATGCTGAAAATTCAGCTTTGAAATCACAGGAATAAATAAAAAATTTTAATGTATCTTTACAATCGATATTGATGTCCTTTAGCACAGTATTCTGAATCATAAATATAAAATATTAATAATAATAATAACTAAAAAAAAAAACAGGGCAGCGGGCCAAATCAGCCGCCAGGCCACCGGGAATTCTCCCGGTGATCCTGATGGCCAGTCCGGGCCTGCTCATGATCTAGTTTTTGCAATTCATTGCACTCTTGAGTGCTGTTGTCAAGAATATGAAATTGAATTTATGAGTTGACTAAATTACCTCGCAAAAATAACTAAAATGCATCACAGTAAAAATTATTGTTTTTAATTTTGGAACATATTTTTTCAAAATTAAATGGTTAATCTACTTATCACTTTCAAATTTTATTCATTTATTTACAGCTATACATATGACAAATATATATTATATATATATATATATATATATATAATAATATATAATTTATTATTTAAAAACAAGCAAAGTAATTCATAATTCTTAAAAAATGCATGTAAAGAATTTTGGAAAAACTGAATCAATGCATAAAGCTAAAACACATATTTTATCTAATAAGTAGACATGCAGCTTCAGTGGCACAGCAGTGAATAGAGTTCAATAAATAACATTTCTCAGTATTTATCAATCTTATGTTCATGATGTTTTCTGTCATATTGTCTCTTGTGCTGGATGACTGACATGTCTGTAATAGCCACGACAAATATCAATACAGAAACACACACACACATACACATTAAACTAAATTATCTTGTGCTCCAGCAGACTCAGTATGTTTGTGTTTAGCATCAAGAAATGCAGTACATTTACTAAAATGAAT